GGGTGAAAGATTATCATCTAGAAACTCTCGTTGCACTCTTACGCTCTTAAATATTCTCAACTCTTCTGAGTACAACAGACAGCATACAAACTTTTATCCCATTGAACAAACACAGTTATCAAAAGAAAAATGTTCCGAAAACGATGTCAAGCCGGTTTTTATCAAAAAATATCATCGAAGGGTGTGAAAAATCTTCGAAGGTCACTCTTAATTTTTCTTAACGACAAATAATGCAAGCTTTGATTCACTGAAGATTGATTTAACAAAGTCTTTCCTAAACACCTCAAAAATATTAGTATGCTAGTTTATACACTGATAGAAGCTAAAATTTTTAATTTTTGAAGCAAAAATAATAGTTCACACCAGCACCGAGAAGAAATAACAATGATATAAAAGGTCTGCTCCAGTCATTGTCTAGTCTAGAACAGATTCTGTTATAGTGTGTATAAGAATAAGTTGGTTCGACAGATATTTATATATATTTACACGTTTCATATACAAATAAAGATACTTAAAACAATTAAAACCAGGGTAAAGTGGTGTAATCTGTCCCGAATTTTACGATGTAAAATGTGGCTAGCTAAAAATAAACATAAATACCCATTTAATATCTGAGACAATTCGAACTGATTGATGAAAAAGCATGGGTTTTTTCAGTTTCTAGACAAAAATATGATAGTCCAACTACATTTCGAATAAAGTAACAATGAAGACTGAACTATTGGCTGATAGAAAATGTGTAGTCGATTGTCTAGAGCAAACTTTTGTCACCAAAATAACACGTCACACAAGGTTGTGTAACCCTGCATTAGAAAGTTACAAGCATTTCCCATGAGAAACTTTTCTGGCTTTCAGCTTTCCTCACGCTCAGTTACTTTAGGCGCTACAGAGCTCAGAATAACTTTCTTGTAGAGAAGTTTTGTCGCTTTGAAGGTACTAAACCGAAGCTTTTTCAGTTTTCTTTCAGAAGGTAAGAAAAGCTAAGAGTGTTTTCACGAAAATGTGTCACGTTCATCAGTAACACAAAATTCAAAAACTTAGCAGTGTACAACCAAACGATAACGTTTTTCCACGCAATGAAACCATCCTGAGTCCTGCATGACCTAAACTGCCTAAGATTTTGAACAACCTTAACTGCTCTACTTTGACCATGGTTGTTAGCGTATCTTTCGAATAGGTTGACAGATCATTTTGAAATTTCTTACTCTGAGCTGCTACTGATATGGCTGATGCTCTCTGTAAGGATTTGGACTTGAATAGAGGTTATACAGGTTTCTCACAAGGGCGGCCCTTGAGAAAACTTTTACCTCTCACACATCATGATCCAAGTGAACTGTCGGTTCAAAAGTATAAGTTTAAAACATAAATAAGATAATTTATCTTCTTGTACTTAAAAGATGATTTGTTTATCAAAAGTGAAGTATGTTTTTTCTACTGAAGAAGCGGATATAGAAAAGAAAGCAAAGATATCTAGACCGCTATCTTATGGACACGTTCAATACTTCAGATTTTTTTCGACAAGAAAAAATACTGAAAAGAGAAAACGAACCCTAAGATTGTTTCTAGCAGCGTATCATTTTTAGAACATTCCGACGTCCTATAAAAACGTGAAATACATTTAAAATATTAATTCAGAGATTTTGTTAAAATGCATGCGCTTCGATGCTCATTATGTTCTAATACCGATTCACAGATCAATAATTACTTATGTGACGAATGCAATGATCTGGATCGGTATGAGTTTTTCCAGCATTTCCTAATAAAACTACAGTACAATAAGAATTTTCACACTATTCAGCGAATTTGTCAAACGATTTATCCAGCATTAGTCAAATTTCCCTTTAACTTTAAACCAATACAATATTTTGACCCGCAAGTACATAAGCTAGATATTATTTCCCAACAATACGTTGCACTGTGTGAAGATACTGAAGGCGAGACAAAGTACTTCTCAAATAATGAACAACAATTAATTGCCTTAGATGTAAAAGGTGACGGTAATTGCTTGTATCATTGTATAACATTACTTGGTGAAATGGCGGACCATTATACTGTCGAACTTCGAGTACGAAATATTATAGAATTAGCAATGAATGCCGATGCGTATCTACAATTTTATAAACTATATGATACAAATCTAAAAGCCTATATCGTAAGATCAATGTTATACGATAGACGATGGGCCGAACCATGGGATTTGTTCGGTTTAAGTACAGTTTTGAACTGCAATATTCGTTCAGTTTTTCCCAATCTCAATACATTCACTAACATCCATCCAAGTGCTCCACTTCCACCACAAAAGGTCATGAATAAAACATTCAAACCACGTCAGAATATAGCAACCAACACAATTTTAATTATGTGGTCGCGAGGGATATCTCCAGAAGACTGGATTTTATACTCTACCGAGGACATATGGGCTCCGAATCACTATGTTCCACTAATAAAACCTCGTGTAAGTCTACATTTAATACTGCTAATTCTAATCGTTGACGAATATTTATTAAATTTAGTCCTTGAATACAACATCTTTGATATCTTATACAACGAAAGTATGTTTTAAGTAGTTTTGATCGAAAAAATAATCGAATTAAACAGATACCTAGTGTAAGCAACACTAAGCTATACTCCACTGACTGTGTCGTAGCGTTTCAGACGTGATGTGTCCGAACGTCTTTCCAGAAAGCAGAATCGAAATAGAACGCATTTCATTCTTCACCAAGCTGTAACACATACTCTGATATACATTGCTCTAATTTTCTTACTAACTAGAATATGTCACGGCATGATAAAGATGGAAAGAAGAATGCATGTCTACAAGAGACAGACGATGATATATCATTACCTGTAAGTCTGGTAGGTACTAGTTAATTTGACCCAAGCTCAAAATCGCCTAACATATTTCAAATTTCAATCTGTAGGAATCAGAGATGGACTACTACAAAGCGACCTATTCTTTGGCAAAAGCTGTTGTAGGGCAAAGAATGATCAAGAAAAAGAAAAAATCAGATGTATTCCCACTATAAAATGATCTCTGGACTTTAATACCGTTCTCACTCTTAATAACTTAGAATTACTCGACAAATACCATTGGTACTACTATTCTTCAGACTATACGAAATTTGGTGCCAGTAGTAAAGGTTGATATAATTTTAGTTCTTACCAGTTTTTTTCTATATTCTGTCTTATTTTCAGAAAAAGAGTAACCGTTTAGAAAAGTGTGATGCCTCTGATAAACGTGGTATCACATTTAATGTAAGAAACTTGATAAAAGCTGATCAAGACTTCAGTAAAGAATATTTGGTAGATAATTTTGTAAAAGATGTTGAAAATATATTACTTCAGTTAGGTAGGCTATTTATTCATTGTAAACTTCTTTTTTATACTCAAATAGCTGATACATCTGTGCTCTACTTTATTTCGTTAGATTGTCACATATGCTATCTTTATCTTGTAATCATGCCACTTTAATTATCGTACGTGATACTTATTCAACATCAAATATAAGACAGGAAATTAGCAAACAATTACATTTTTTAAAACGCGATTGTGAAAGAACTTTCGAAAAGAAACATGTAAAAAAAGAACTGTGTTGGAAACATACCATACTATTAGTATTAGATGTAAAAAAAAATTTAAATGTTGATGCAAAATATAATGATTGGTTAAATCCCAATTTTGAGCATGTATTTCAAGTTGACAATGATAGTGGTAAAGATGATCAAGGAAACGTTGAAAATAGAACTGATGTAACAGTCGAAGATCCCTTATCATTAAATTTTGAACAATATCCTAATTACGTGCGTGTTTCGATGCCTCGTACATTGATTTCATATATATTCGCTGATAGCAATAATATAAACAATGCACACTACCAAGAATTATTGAGTATTATAATGAATTATTTAATGGAGAAAGACTTGAAGAACGATACTAAACAAAGAGTATTAGAGACTTGTTTGAAATGGACTCTTCGCACAGCATATGCAACACGAATTAAATCTCTTTTTACAGGATCAGAAAATAATATGTCGAGCAGAATCAATTTTATGTTTCCACTCCAATCAGGAACAAATATTCAAGAACAGATATCAACAAGATCCCAAACACAAAGACTAATTCATTCAACTACGGTAAATAATGATTAAACCAGTGCTCATTCGGCATGGTATGAAGTTCGGTATGAGTAAAAGCCTTAGGAGGCTATCTAGTCGAGAAATAAACGGAAATAGAAGAAACTCGTTAGCGGACAAGTGATCTAACTTAGGCTGACAGTAATGGTTCGCATTACATGTGTACGTTGGTGAAAGAAGAGAAGAACAAAATGAAAGAATCTGTTCTAGTTTACGACAACAAAATATATATATCTAGCATAAGCCTGCGAGAGTTCTTTTGTATAAATAAGTCTCTTGGAGAAAATGAGAGCTAATAACAGTAAGCAGCATATGTTCGATCAAAACTAAAGCGGACGCCAATCCGATTTTATTCTGATTTTACCGTATTCTTAAAAAAGAAACATAAATACACTATTTACCTTATCTCATTTAAAGCCTAAAACTCAAATTTACTTATTTCTCGTATTAAGAACGAGGTTGTTTCGTTTCATACCAGTAGCAAAAAGAACGATATCTAGAATGATAGATACATCAATGAAATTTAATAACTAAAAACTAAAAGATAGATTTCACAAGACTATGTCATTTAATTTCTGTTGTTTGTGGGATTTATATAATATCGATACAATAATTCCATTACACACAAGTACCAAAACAACAACTATACATCGTTCGACCGACAATGTTCATGATGTACAGTCATTATTACCACCTACAAGTACGCTTTCACATTCGACGTCGAATACAGCCTCAATGCGTACTCTGTCAACCGATAGTAAATACGATATTAGGGAAGAATTTGATTTTGAACGGAAACAAAAGAAGCTTGATAGAGAACAAGTGTTATTCAGAAACAGATATTATTCAAAGTTTTTGTTAGCTAAATTACAGTTCTCAATTTCGAATAGAGTTTATCAAAAACTGCATCTGCTGTGCAACGAGTACAATACAAGACCTCCACCAATACGTACGATAAAAGAACTTTTGAGCCTTTACGAACATAAAATTCCAATAATAACAACCGAACACGGTGCATACCTGCACGTTCGTCATGCCGTTATTATGTTAACATATGGACATCTAGATATTCTTGACTCCATATGCAAATCCGGCAGTCGAACACTGCATTTTCGTCTGTGTGAAGATGGTACTTGGATTGGAAAGAGATTAAATATTCTCGTTTCCAGTTTAGGATGGGTTGATGCCGGCCTAAAAGCACAATCTGCCAGCAGTTTAATTCCACTGGCAATCGTGAAAATACCGAACGAAGATCGTCTAAACTTAGGTATGATTAAAAAATAGTTTTCGAGAAAAAAGCATTTTGTACACAGGGCACTGTTTTCAGGGCATTTGCCGCGATGCTTATATCTCCACGAAAACTCATCGGAAAATTCTGGGAGACGTCTCATTGTGAAAAAAACACTTTCTTCTATCAGACTATGCGCAAGAAAAATTTTGAATGTTCAGAAAAGAGAGAAAAGTTTATAAAACTAAAAAGCTGAGTTTTTTTAGGCTTAAAAATTCATAACTTTTTGAAGAAAGGCCGTGGAGTGTTGGGAGCGTTCTCATTTTGTAGCCCACACTTTTCTCTACATTAGGCTATGCTCAGCTCAAAATCCGAAATTTTCTCAAAAAAAGAGCGGGAGGTACTCTTAAGTTTTTGACAATATGTCTCACCAAAAATAGAACTTCTGCGTTATCGAGTGTGCTGAACACGAAAACGCACTTTTCCTCGACTCTGCACGAACTTTATTTTTTTTTTCACGTTGATATGGAAAGTTATTTTTATGATTACTTACCAGCTTTAATGTGTGATTTTCCAATTTAGACAAGTATGTCACTCAATCATTTATAAACATGTTTAATCGAGACCAAACAATAATACTCAATGGCGAGCAATATCATTTGAAATTTTCATACAGTGTAGGTATTTATTTCTTATTTGAATATGAAGACATAAATATTCCGCTGCTATTGGCATTTTGTTCAACCTCCACGTAATCTTATTACTAATTCACAATATACTCAAATATTTAAGGCTGACTATAAAATGGTAAACCAGATAATGGGACTTTCTGGTGTCCAAAGTCCCTATCACTGTAACTGGTGCAAGTACCAGAAAATGACTTTAGACAATTACGAGTTTGTTGCTGACCCACGTGTTACAGCAGCCACAACCACTATTCATGATGAGGAAGAAGAGGATTTATCGATAAGACGAGGAGGTTTAAGAAATCATTCAAAACGAACAAAGCAAGCTGCTTTTCGTCCAACTACTACGAACAACTACCTCGATGATGTGAATCATTTACCAACAAAACCCAAAACTGGAAGAAAAACTACAAAAACTAAATTACCTGCAATTGACCGAGAAACAATGTTCAGCAGATGGTCAGCCTACGACAAAACTAGAGGGGCTAGAACTCTGAAAGAACATTACGAACAAGTTGTTCTGGCATATCCAAAATTTGGATATATACAAAAGCCACTATATGGAAAACATTTCGAGTAAGTGTGTAGATTTGCAAAACAAACGCAGTCTTTCTACACAATTCCAATGATTTAGTTACGAAGATATTGTCGTGGATATTCTTCACATGAAACTGAGAATATGCGATCAGATGTTAAAACATGCTATCAAAATAGCTTGTGATGTTACAACTACAAATGCCACACAAAAAGATGCATTGCAACAGCTACAAAACGCATTTACCTTCTTCACAGCGTTCAATACAAAACAACATGTGAGTAATCTTTCGATTTAAACTTGATATGTGGAGTATTCAACATCAGCCCAATAAGGGTACGTTTTTATATAAATCGTGGAGTCCCATCAACACTCGCAGTTATAGCAAAACAATCTCAGTAGATCTTATTTCCTTAAGAATGAAAACGTATTGACGTGCTGTAACGTAACAAAAGCTCTTAAAAAATATTTCTTATTTCGAAACTAAAAAATGCATACTGTACTGTAAAAATGGGTTCTATTTTAAAAATGCTGTTTTCCCTTACCAGACTTGATATGAAGAACTGTAAAACACTACTCTATAGATAACAGATTAATCTGCCTTTAGATATATCCGCAGAAACTGCCATTATCCCGTAAGAATTAAAGTGGTGACCTGAAAATGTCCAGACTGCTCTTGTTATCAAATGATGTTAGTTGTCTAATAACAGAAGAGTAAACCAAACTCTTGTTAAACGAGCAGAAGCTATTCTAACTAATTACCAGCTTTTGCTTGATTAAAATGTCTCAAGAGTACTACTTCTCGGCCTTTACTGAAAATTTTCAAATTCAACATGATCTGATATACAGGAAAATGTGGGCTACAAAATAAGTCTACTTTCGACGTTCTACGACCTTTATTGACAAAGTTAAGAACTTTTAAATTTTATGTTCAAACGGGTTAAAAATTAAATTTTTAGTTGAAAGGAAGGATAAGGAATAGGAAAAGTAGGAAAAAACTAAGTTCTTGGTTATGGGAGGCCTATAACTGTAACGAAATATAATTCATTTCTGAAATATCGTCTCAGTTATCTGCGGTAAAATTTTCACTCCGATGCATAAAGTTTTGATCGTTGAGTTGTGATGCACACGGATTGGAACCACTAGTCTTTTGCATGTTACAGGTTACATTACAAGGTTACTTTTTTTACACGGTTACTTATTTGCCAACAATACCAATAGTGGTGATCGTACACCCCTCATATTAACTTCTGATTAAGATTTCTCCGAAACGAAATCACCTGTAAAATTCGGAGTTTTGCTAAAATGTTGCAAATTTGTTGTAGTTTATTTGCTTAAAATAGAACATCATTCATTTTTTGAACATCATTCATTTTTTCCACACCCTGTAATGAATATTTATTCAGATCATAATACATTTTATAGAATTCACCGATGTGCGACGAGAAAATATGAATATAGGGGGTAACAGCATCGTATCCAAACATGTCGACAAAGTCTTTCCCCCATTTATCAGCTAATTTGACGATACCCGAATGATAAAAATTTCGATGATTTGTCTTTTTTGTTAATTCTAATATGTCAAAAAAGTCATTTATCAGATATGTCCATTTTTCTGCTTTATTTTTATCCATGG